AAGGAACGCCCCGAGTACGCGGATGCCTCGCAGGGTGCCGCCCGCGTACTTGCCGTCGGGAGGCGCCGCCGGCGTGCCCCTCACGCTCGGGTAGTCGCGCACCGCCTCGAGCGACGCGGGGTCGGGCGCCCAGATCTGACGTTTGCTGACGTTGCTCTCCACCCCGCTCCACCTCCGAGCGAGGTCGTCGCCTTCGAGCATCGCCTCAAGGGCAGGCCTCGGCGCATCCGCAACGTAGGTCATCGAGGGGGGGGGCCATGGAAGGTAGGCCAAAACCAGGGCGGACGGGTTGCGCACCTGCATCTCGAGCAGCGTCCACAGTGGTAGCCGATGCGCGATGGCGAAGAGGAACGGTCCGAGCGGGTCCCCCTGCGCGCATCCCTCGGCCGACACGAAGACGTTGCCGTCGCCGTCACGCGCCTCCTCATTGAAGAGGAAGAGGCGGCGCGGGACCTTGTACCACAGCGCCACCGTGGGGATGAGCTCGAAACCGCGGGGATGTAACGAAACCGCGGGGATGTAAAAAGAACCCCGCGATTCGGGGGGTCGCGCGAGAACGCGTTACAAGCGGCCAGCGCGTTCGCGGCGTCCATGCAGGCGATTGCGGCGCCAGAGGCGGAGGGTCTGCAGCTGCACCTCTCCAGCAGCAATAGAACCGGCTACACAGGAGTTCGCTCTCGCAATGGCCGCTTTCAGGCTGAGCACGAGCAGAATGGAAGGAAGGTATACCTGGGCTCCTTCGACACGGCAGTGCAGGCAGCGGTGGCCTATGCACGGGAAGTCGGTGAGTACCAGTCCCCGGCTGTGCCAAGGGAGGCAGAGGGGACGCGCTTGTACCTCTCCAGCAGCAATAGAACCGGCTACCGGGGCGTGCGCAAGACGGACTCTGGACGGTTTCAGGCTGACACGTGGCAGAATGGAAGGAAGGTATACCTGGGCACCTTTGATACGGCGATTGAGGCTGCGGTGGCGTACGCGCGGGAGGATAAGACGCAGAGCCGCAAGCGGCCGCGCTGCGCGTTCGCCGGGCGCCCCGTGGTCGGTGTGATGGCTGCGTGACAGACAGTGTGTGACCGCGCCACGTCCGTTGTA